GCTGGTGGTTGATCGGGATGATGATGGTCATCTCCTGCTGTCCTAGACTTTTGGGCATGTTTGCTGTAAACTTTATGTTTTGTTCCAGTTCTCTTCAGTCCCTGAGCACAGTGAGGGGACTTAAAGATGATGGTCTCACCTTTAACCTGCTGTTGGTTGCGGAGCCCGTGGGCTGGAGTGATTTGGGGCCGCTCTGTAGGGACAGGACATGCAGCAGTGGGGGACAGCAGGTACAAACCCCACGCTGGGTGGGTGGCAGCCCTGCGTGTGCTGCTCTGCTCTGCAAAGGGAAGCCTGCAGTTAATATTAATTAAAATCATATGGTCATCATGTTCAAATTAGCGACAGCTTAACTCTGAACATTAGTGCATTGTGCATTCTCAGATGCCAAATAATAGGTTCGAGATGGGCTTTGCAGCCATTAAAGTGAGAGAACAGTTAAATTTTACGCCCTGTGTGTTTGTTCTTGGGGGCAACATAACCCAGACCAGGTGCCTGAGGACAGCCTGGCTCTACCCAGGGCAGCAGCTGACCCCAGGCAGTTGTGAGGGGAATGTCCTCTGGTATCCCTGCCTCTGTCTCTGGGACTCTGCAGGGTGGGGATGGTGTTCTTGGCCGTCGTGGGTTGCTCTGGGTGATTTTATTGCCCATCATGGAAGAACAAAGTCTGGATGAGGGTAGTGTAGAGAACACAAAAGGAAGAGGCTTGTTTCTTTTTTAGAAACCCTTTTTGCTTCCCTTGGGAAATGCAGAGACCAAATATGAAACGAAGCCACAGAATGAGAAAAACCACTTCCTGCTGGGAAATTAGAAAAAATTATAATAAATCTCTCCTTGGATTGCTCTGGCAGCCCATGTGCTCCTCAAGGGCTGCATGCACAGAAGGGAGCTGTGAAATAAGGTGCTACCAAGGACAGGGATGATGTGTCCAGGGACTGGCAAAATGATGGTTAAGGCTTTGCCCAGCATGGAACAAACACGAAGGTCCAAGCCCTGGTGAGGGGCTGCAGAGGCACCTTCCCTCTGTACTGGGGCACAGGGAGAGTGTCACAGGTTTGCTGCTGAGGGGTTGGGTTTAATTGTGCTTTTTAAAAACATCAAATGAAAATGCTTTATATGTTGTCTAAAGTTGGACCTAAATGTGTCTGATGTTTTGTGAAAGTGTTAAAATATTAATGGCTTCTTGTGGTTTAGGGAAGTTTATTTTTATATTTTTAATTTTTTACTCAAAGGAGTAATTTTCTAAGCACTGCAGCTGATGTTCTGTCCACGGTGCCTCTGCGTCAGCAGCGCAGAGGGACCACATGGCCCTATGTTCGATTTAATTCTCTGCTGATAGCGCAGGAACGGAGACCTGGGCAGCTGTGGGTTCCTCTGGTGCCAATTCCTCTCCCTGACTGAGAGGAGCATCCCTAGGGAATGCCTCAGGCACGAAATTGGCTGTTCCCACTGGAGTAACTGTGCAGTGGGACATTGTGTTTTATTCAGGCTTGATTCGAAGTATGGGAAGCCTCGTGGAGGAGGAAATTCTCTGTCCTTTCTGTTCAGCAAAACCAGAGTTTGCCAGGAGTGTGAGGCAGAAAAAGTGCTGAGATGCTCCTGGATCAGAGTAACATCGGTCATCTTCTCCAAATTGGAATAACTGCTCACCATTGGAGGTGATTGGTGTGAACGCATCGGGCAGTTTGGGGATATCAGGGGGACGGGAGGTGTGATGTACTGTGGCCCCAGTGTCACCCCCAGCTGCAGAGGGGTCTGCAGGGACATGAGCCCCTGGTGCCACCCCTGGCTCGGCTCCATGTGCTCCTGCTCGGATATAGATTGTCCGAGGTTTTAGCGGTAAGAGGGTCTTTATTCACAGGCACTGGAGGAGGAGAAACTGCTTCAGAAAGTTGTTTTCTCTTACTGAAATGGCTGAAACACACTCCTGGGCCCAGGCCTTCTCTGGAGGTGGTGCTGTGTTAGAGGCTGGTGCAGCCGTGCCTGGATGGAGGAGGAGGGTGTTGTGTTGTGTCTGTTGTTTTCCTGCTGCTTTCCTGCTGTGCCCAGGCGTGTCCTTACCATCAATACATGGTGCTGCTCCGCTCTGGTGCCAACGTGGCTTTATTTCTGCAGCGTGTCCCCGTGCGTCTGCCAGCCATCCTCATGCCCACGCAGCCCTGCAGACAGGGAGGGGGAGCTGGGGAGCACAGCTGTGTGCCCCATGCCTGGAAGAAAGGACACAGCTCCTGGGAACACGTCACTCTGGCTGGGAAGGGCCTGGCACTGCCAGGACATGCCGCCTGCCCAAGGGCTCCTGCTGGGGCACTGGCATGAGGTGGTCTCATCCCTGCTGGTGGCAGAGCTGCTGGAGGCTGGAGGTCTGATGCCAGGAGCACAGGGATGCTGGGAACCACGACAGCCCTGCTGGGCACTGCTCTGGGAGCATCCCGGGCCAGTGGAGTGACACTGAGCCGTGACAGGTGACAGTCCCGCGCAGCCGCGTGTGCCCTCGAGAAGGTGCAGCAAGGCCCTTTCCGTGCCAGGGCAAGACCATGCCTAGAGCCACGGCAGGCACCCGGCAGAGAGGGGCACACTGCTTTCCCAGGAATGGCTTCAACCAGGAGTAACAGCCACAGCTGCTACCATGACTGCTTCTCTTCCCAGCAACCGAGGGGAACCAGAGCCTTGGTGACCCTGGAGCCTCGGCAGTGCCGGAGCCTCGGTGACCCTGGAGTGTCAGTGGTACCAGAGCCTGAGCAGGACCACTCACAGAGTGGGCACACCTCTGCACTGCCATCGCTCAGGAACATTCACCAGCGTGTTCCAGGGTGCTGCTGCCCACCTGGGGTGCACCATCGCTCCCCTAAAGCTGCACTAACAGCAGCCACCCGGTTGCACGATGTCTTCCCTGGCAGTAATTTTATTGTTGGTCAGAGTTCTGGTTTAAAAGCAGCAAACTGTGGCCAGTCCACAGGGTCCTTATAGAAAATGTGGATCCCCCCTTTCCCCTTTGCAAATGTGTCCCTGTGTACCTGGATGTGTGTCAGGGTGCTGGCCCTGGGGCAGGGCTGGTGCTTCCAGGTTGGCCCGTGCTGGGTCAGTCGCCCACAATGGCCCCTTGGCCCAGCCAGGGCTCCCCACAGGTGAAGTGCCGAGTCCTGTGCCAGTGGCTGTGTGG